GGCTCTGGATCCAAAGGCTCTGGCTAAGCTCCAACAGGATCCTTCCATTTGTCCTCCCAGAGCAAATCCCAACCCAAAATTAGGGCTTCTTCCCTCTTTCCAGACATCCCATTCCCTCTGGTTCTTCCTCACTAAAATCCAGGAGGGATGATCCTGGATCTCCAGATAACAGATCCTGATCCATGCACTCAATCAGGAGTTTGGGATCAGCCCAGGAATGATGGGGACACGCTGTGACAAACAGGTCCTGCTGGGCCTTAGTGGCATTTTTCTCTCTGGTTCGGTGTCAGCATTATCCCAGTTTTTACATGGATGCTGCTCACCCACAGAAACATCCAGAAAAGAAAAAAAAAATCTACCTATGATTTGCAATTCAAAGCATTTTGAAAAATATTTCTTCCCCCTGCACAACCCTAGTGCCTGTAATTTTCATCTACATTTAAAAAGAGGTTTGATTTATGTTAATCCTAAATAATCCAGTGTTGAATTCATTTCAGTGAGAGCTGCATTTTAGGAGGGGGGGTTATGTTTGTTTATAAATAAATTTATGGTTTTGCTGATTCCTTGAATTTCTGAGGGATTGTCAAATGTTCTCAATCTTGAGTAATAAACACAAGCAAAGAGTGAGTCACTGCTTGGGGTTTTTTGGTATTTTTGCTTTGTTCCAGCAGTAAAATTATAACTCAGAAATATCTTTGAGCCAGAAAATCAGGAGGGGTAGAAGAAGAGAGCAGGAAAATGATTTGATTTTTGAAAAGTTGTTATTTTGATAACTCTCATTTGGTGGGAAATGGTTATGATGAGGTCTGACTTCTTTTGATGAGGCGGAACAAGAAAAGAACATCATGAATAAATATTGGCTGTCAGAGATTTCTGTTCAGGACAAGAGGGAACGGCCTCAGGCTGGGCCAGGGCAGGCTCAGGGTGGACACCAGCAGGAATTTCCTCATGGAAAGGGGGCTCAGGCCTCCAAAGGAGATGCCCAGGGAGGTTTGGAGCCCCCATCCCTGGAGGTGTCCAAGGAATTTCTGGATGTGGCACTCGGAGCTCTGGTGGGAATTGGGCACAACTTGGATTTGACAACCTTGGAGGGCTTTTCCAACCTCAGGGATTCTGGGATTCTGTGAGGATGGAGAGGAGCTCCAGCTCCTGTCAGGACCTCACAGCCACCACATTCCCCACCAGGTCTGAATGCAAACCTTGGACATGTCAGAGGGAGGAAACTTTTCCCTGGATCCCACCAGGGTTTGGTCAGGCCCTAATCTGAGAGGCTGATAAAGGTTTGGGACACAAAGTCAGGATCCCACCTGCTCTTCCTGACTTCCTTCAGAATTTGGGGAAATTAATCCTTAATTAGCCCTCAGAAGAGCAGCTGGTGGAGTCTTTCTTCCCATTAGGGTTTGGATTTTTAAAATTAATTTTCCAGAGAAACTGTGGATCCACATCCACAGATTCCACATCCCTGGAAGTGTCCAAGGCCAGGCTGGACAGGGCTTGGAGCAACCTGGGACAGTGGGAAGTGTCCCTGCCATGGCAGGGGGTGGAACAAGGTGACCTTTAAGCTTCCATCCAACCCAAACCATTCCAGAATTCCACGGACAGGACATTCAGAGAGCAGAGCGAGGAGCAATCCCGGGTTTTAGGAAAGGATGGAAGCTGCTTTCCAGGAGCACCCACAAAAAGGCAGGGCCGAGTTATCCCCCCTGGGAGCTGATTTTGGCCACAATCACCCCTCTGGGATGTGCAAATTCCGTGCCCTTGGTGGTTCCCTCTCCACCTGCCCCTCTGGAAGAGCGGGAATGCCGCACATTCCGACAACCACATCCGACCCTAAAATTGTACCGGCTCCCACATCCAACCCTAAAATTGTATCAGTTCCTGCCTTGTCCCCAGGACTTGGGGAAAGGAGAGGACAATCCCTGGCTATCTCCATGAGCTGTTAACCCTCCCCACCCCAGAGGAGCATTTTCCAAAGAGCGAGAATTCCCAAGGGAAGAAGAACATGGGCATGGCTGTACCCAACGCAACCTTCGACCGACGGATGGCGGGGCCTTTCCCAGCCCCGTGTGTGTCACCAGGCAGATCCACAGGCAGAGAACAAACCAAACCCAAGCCGCTGCCCCCCCAGGCTGGCTTGTCCCCTCCCAGGACCATGGCCCTGCACCCTCCCTGCACGCCTCCTGCTTTCCTGGGGGACGCTCCCGTCCTCCTCGGCCGCCCACGCTCCCCGAGGGACCCGAGGACCACGCAGGTCTCTGGTGTCCAGCAGGTCTGGAGAGCTCTGTTGTCACCAGGAGAACGTGGGTCACGGAATTCACGGATGGCATCGCCCACTGGCCACGCTGGTGGCTCACTTTTTGGTTTTTTGTTGTTTTTTTTTTTTGTTTCCCCAAATAACTTAATCTCTCATTCCACAGAACAGAGGAGCTGCATGGAAACGCTCGGAATCCGCTGCATGGCCTGATGGTCTTTTCCCACTAAACGCTCTCCAGGAACCATTTTTTTTTTTTTTCCCCCATCCTTTGGCCGAATTTTTCCTTTCCTCCTCCTGTCTTTACATCACTGTCTCTCTCTCCTCTTCCACCAGGACCGTGGGTCTGTCTCCGTCGTAGAGCCCGGAGCCGTTCAGGTATTCCTCATCCTTGTTGTACTGCTCGGGGCCGGAGGAAGGCATGGAATTCTCTGAAATGGAGCCGTTTTTCACATAACCTGGCAGATTCCTGTGGCCGTTGAGGGTCCCTGGAATAAGTCTCGTGTTGAGGTGGAGGGCGAGCGCCCCTCGGGTGGCTACGTTTGTGATGCTGGTGTGGGAAACCATTGGTCCATAACTGTAGGTTGTGCTCCCACTCCGGGCTTTCCTTTTAAAGTCAAGTGCTAAAGTCCACCTGCTCCATGACTTCTTTATTTCTGCTTGGACCTG